ATATATGGTTTATGTATATATGTTATTAAATTTTTGATATTTGAATGAGAAAATAAATAAAACATAACAAAATCTACATCTGTTCCTCTAAATGGCACGTAAGCAATTCGTTATTTGTATAATTCAATAATTCTATTAGATTTTGTAATAATGTATGGTTTAAGTATATGTTATTAAATTTTTTATTTTTGAGTTGAAAAATAAACGAAAAGGTATATCAAGCCTACCACATAGTATTAAGAAAAGCCTTCAATCTCGAATTAGGTAGCCTAGTTTTGAAAAAGGCTTCAATCATTTTGTCATAGACAACGAATTTGTTTCAATTCTATGTGAGAATGGTGAAACCTTTCTTGGTAAGGCAACATTGAGCAAACTACAATTTCGAATGAGTTCGCAGAGTGACCTTGCACGTTGCAGAGGAGCCTCGCAGAGACGGGGAAGGATGCCCTCTCAAAAGTTTGCCTTGCTCAAGGTGATAATACGCATACAAATTCATACTTTTTAAACATTGCTCGTTTAGATGTCCCCATAAAGGGCTTATAAGAATAACATGTAAAGACACGAATATACAGTTTAAACAATGCCAATGGGCGTTTACAAAACAAACATAAACTTATAAACAAAAAATATAATACCTGAATGTTTAAATAATCGAATTATTGATCAAAGGTTGCATCGAATCAACAGCTTAATTCTAGTATTGTGTAAGATAAAAAGGTAGATATGGACAATTAGATTTAAGAACAAATAGTGATTCTGCCATCTTTTAGGAATATTGGCATAACTTTATACGAGAAAAATATATATTTCACAAATGCTTTGAGCAGAAAAAACAAGAAAAGTCTTCAATCCTTGGCAGCAAAGTTTAGTACTGCCCTCCGATTTGATTTGAATCCGGTATTAATTTTTAAGTTCAATGCTATACAAGATAACAGGATCAAACTGTACCGTCAAAACATAACCTAAATAAATGGAAAACATTTAAAGTGATTATGTATGTAAAGATTTTTATTCCATTGAAACATTCCGGCATATGATGCTAAAGTGTAAAAAGAAAAGTGTGTGTTGAATTACTTGGTAAACATTCTTATTTATTTTGCTGAATATGTTATTTATAAGACTTACGTTAAAGGTAAAGACCAGTATTGGAAACACCCCAATTTCAAAACATGAAATGGAAGCTCTTATTACCAATCATGTGAAAGAATATGTTTTGACTAATACATGATGATACAAAATTTGCCGGGAAACCGCCTACTAATTGATATATTTGGTAAATTAATTTATCTATTGGGCTGTGAGAGATAAACGCACGTGTCGCGCACGTGTGCGTAGAGTCCCATATACATCTTTCTGTGTACAGTGCTTGTAACTTTACGAATACTGGGCCAAATTTCTTATCATTTTGATGATTCCAGAACCTTGCAGTACACACCAATAGTTATATGCTAGATGATAAACCCTTTTCTATCAATTTCACAACGTTTCTTTTATAATGCAATCGCATGACCATAACTGGTCTTTAGCTTTAAACATTTGAAAAACAAAAGCAAAATGAATGGTAGAATCCTTTTAACTGATTTGAAGTACGAATTGATGTCACATTCAAATTCTAAAACAAAAGCAAAGGTTAATGAAAAACAGGTGAAAGCGTTGACTGATATGCTAAGATAATGTTTTAATTCTATATATATTTGTTACTGTGAACGTTGTAGATATGAGAAATAAAGTTCCCTGAATTAAAGGGTTTAAAAAATAGATATATATATATATTACAGAAATATTACAGAAATTATAGAAATGCATGCTCGCTTAAATGAAAACGGTTTGAATTTATACTAATAGTGACATTAATGATACTAATTACAATAACGATAAATTATCGTAGTGGTAATATTACATTATGACAATATATCTAATATACGCTTCCAAAGTATACCGCCCCACTTTTGAACAGTTCAGGCATGTTAGTCAAAAGCTGGAGTGAAGAATACGTCATGTTTTGTAGGTGATGTTGACGATTTGGCTTTTACATATTGCATCACTCAACTGATAAATAAAACATTTTAAATCAGTGTATCGATAATTGGGTGTATTTTGTGGTGTGGTATTTTATTTCCTATATTATACCTTGCACAGGATTTTTAAAGCATTTACCAGATTTTGCACTTTAGCATGTTCACAGTATACGATCAGCGATAGATACATAGTAAAATATACAATATATTACACTATAAATAATGTGTCATGATGTGTAGGCTGACGTTTGCTGACGTCTGCATAATCATTCAACATGTCCAAACAAGAACTTTTTAATCAGAACTTGATAAGAAAAGCTAAGCAAATATATGAAATAGTTCCACATAATCAGAGCAAAGACATGTATTTACATTCCATTAATATTATTTATAAGGGTGATACCAAATCGATATGAAAATTGATATGACCTCGGCTTTCTAAATGAGGTTAAAAAACGTTTCATTCCGATCCGAGAATGCATGGACAATAAAACAAGTTATTTCCACGAATGAGGAAATGAGGACCATACGAAGAGGGAAAAGGAGATGATATTAGACAGAATTATATTTTATTAAACTTAAAGGAAACCAAAACCTTCATACTAAGTTACTTTTATTGTAAAGTTTAAGATATTTGAAAAATATCAGTGAAAATTCGAACAAAATCGGGCAAGGAATAAGGAAGTAAGAGCTTTTTGAAATTACTAGTCACTAGAGGGTGGTATTCAATTTGATGACATCATCTGTGGACATCCATGCCTTTTGTACAACAAATTTCATGTTTTTCCTCCTTTCTTGTGATTGAGATAATGTACTCCCCTGAAAGCAAGATATAGAATGCAAAATGATATTCTACTTCACATGTTATGAAGTCGGATCAAGAACACAAATAAATACGAAGAATACAACAAAATTGTGAAATTTTATATACAAATGGCATGGAGAGTTGTTCACAGATGATGTCATCAAATTGAATACCGCCCTCTAGTGACTAGTCATTTCAAAAAGCTCTAACTTTCTTATTCCTTGCCCGATTTTGTTCAAATTTTCACTGATTTTATTCAAATCTTTTAAACTTTACAATAAAAGTAACTAAGTATGAAGGTTTTGGTTTCCTTTAAAGTTAAGAGTTGAACAAATTCAAATTTTGTCATCTATTCGCTGGAGCGCCCTATCTGGGAAGCCAACCAATAGCCTCGATAATGATAATATACGCTCTTTTAAAGCACATGCGACATGGATACATTCGTGTAATATGTGCTATATAGGCCGGGCCTTAATATTACGTTACTTGGCGAAATATCAAAAATTCGTATTTGTAAAAAGCTATTTAAGAAACAGGATAAGCTGATGTTGTGCAATTACGGTTTCTCTTAGAAGTCCAGTTGTCAGTTGTGATGGATATTTAATAATTTCAAGATTATTATCAGAGTTCTTTAGATTTCATGGGGACTAAATTCCAATCTAATTTTCAGAGTAGGCCTTGTGTAAAAAGACATTAAGTATGGCCTGTTCTCGCCCGCATTGGGTTCAACGTGATGAGTTGAAACTAGACGTTGAGGACTCGACCCGATTGCTGATGATCGGGGCCATTGATATGAACTCGCGCTGTTGTTCTCAAGGATAGAAACAAGACTCACCACAAGAACATATTAGGAGAGAGTAACTCTCTGTCCGCAATCATCTCTGATTGAAACCGAATCTAAGTACTCAATTGTGAGGCTGTGACTGTGTTGGTGATGGGAGATTTGTGTGTAGTACCGACAGATGTGAGATCTTGATCTACGAAGAAGAAGATGGGACACCAGGACAATCAGTGCCATGTATGTGACGCGATGAGCATGGTGGAAGGAATCTTCTGATTACGGTCGATGGAGGTGGCATGCTACGTACTTGCTGCCTATATGCGGGAGAATCGATGTCTTCGATGCATCCTCGTGTACGTTACTGAGGAAGCTCACTGCTGGGAACACGCCGTCCCTTAAGATACACCAGATGCATGTCATGTCTTCAGGAAAGATCGTCGTGCTCTCCAGACAGGAATCAGGTGATTGATTTAGAATCCTTGTAGACACCTCTGGTGATATTCAATAACGGCTATTCTATCCCGGACGATGTCTATGCAATATCGCTGTTAATAAATCAGCAGACTTCATTTTGAGTATGTACCGGACTTGCCTGGAGGAAATTACTCAGTTTCTGCTAATGGAGAGGTGGTAGGACACACGACTGTAGAGTTCCAGTCAAAAGTGTTGGTTAATACGTTAGTCGTGCCGTGGCCAGGGTGAATCATAATACAAGACGATAACATCCCTTCATACATCATTGCAACAAACATGTAAAATAAATCTTTCTTCCTCTTCAGCATCTTCTGTTCTTCTTTTTCTTCAACTTCTGCTTCTTTATTTCTTCTTCTACTTCTTCTTTTTTTCTCCTCATTTTTCTTCTTTTACCTCTTCTTCTTTTTCTCTTTCTTCTTCTTCTTTTTAATCTTTTTTTTTCGGAACAAGGGCAAAGACTACATGATCTGCCGATTTGTTGTCAATGTTTTATTTTGTCAAGAAAAATTTTTAGTGTTCCGAGCTGAATCACTACAAAATCATGTTCCTCTTTCCATTTTTTCAAAATGAGATTTTCACAATCTTACCTATTATGAAATATGGAACTTTCCGCAAATTAAGTTCACGTGCGAACTGTGATCACACCACTATTAATAGTCAAAATAACAAGGATCTTTCTTTTTAGTCACTACATGCGCATGAGTATTTTACTCATTTTCTGTTGTTCATTTTATGTCATTTCAGCAACATTTGTGAATCGCTCTATCGAATTAAAAATAAACCACGTTGGATAAAGCCACGTTTGAATTTTATTATTAAAGGTTTGTTAGTACGCCAGTGGCTTGGGGATATATACCGTTCAAAATCAGTAAAATTCATTTTCCGGAGCTTCGAGCTGATGCTGCTCTGTACTTAGCCGTAGATGGCGTTTCATAGTTCAATGGTTGCAAGATGGCTAAGTTCGAGTATGACGAGTCGGGTGGCACTTCACTTTATTTTCTGGTTTCTTTCTATGCACTTGTCCTTTTTCCACTTACGTATTACTTGTGGCCTTCTAAGCACAAAAAGGGTGAGTAATATTTCATTGGTAAATCTTATATTGAACCGTGACAAGTAACTTTGTTCTTGAGATTGCCAATGCGCTGACGATTGCCGTATGGGATGAGAGCCCGAGAAAAGACACGTTAACTTATCGTGCATCGACCCCGGCGTCCTAGCGTAGGCCGGATGCAAAATGGTGTGTGCCATGCCCGCCTGTACGTGTAACGTTAGATCTAGATCTACGCGTTTTCAAGACCTAACTAAATCAGACTCTAGATCTAGATCTTAATTGTATGAAAATTATGTATTGAATACCAACAATTACTGTCAATCTAGGGTGTAGATGTACATGTAGCCTAGATCTACATCTATCTTTTTGTAATTAAAGGTGAGTTTTGGTCGTCCGATCCGATTGCATTGTGAACATGGTGAAAGAAAACTTGGGTGTGGAATCTTCTTCTTCTTCCTTTTTGAGTACAGACCTCTTTACAGAGTATTATTGTACTATACTAGGGGTGTGTCCAGGTGGACCACGTACACCGGGGTTTCCCCCTACTCTTGTACAAATAGTGTAGTGGGTTCTTAACGTGCAAAGGTAGTGACTCTTCTCTACACGGAGCCTCCATTTAACGTCCTAAGCGAGGGACGGAGTGTTTTCCACTTTTAACAATAACATAACCTGCGTCTATGAACAAGGGAAGGGAAGGGAAGGGGCACGTTAACACTCAACGCAAGAATCGATCATAACAAGTTGATCATGTAGCATGTATGTAAGTAGATCTATTGGTGTGTATACTGCAAAGTTCTGGAGTCATCAAAATCATAATAAATTTGGCCCAGTCTTGCCTCTTGGTAAAGTAACAAGCACTGTACACAGAAAGATGTATATGGGACTACACATATAGTGTCGGGGCTACTAACCTTGATTTCCTAATCTTTCTATTCTCATTACCCAGCCAGTATAAATTTTCTACCAAAATTGTTTGGCAAATGACATTTATTTGTAATCTTGAACATTCAGTGTAAGTTTTGTTTGATTCTGTGAGAATTCATTTTCTTTTTTAATTTTACCTGAACTCCTCTTCATCTTTACCGTGGATGGATGCATTCTAAAAAATAAGAATCCTCCGCCTTGGGTGTGCTAGAGTTAGACTGTTCCAAAGGTACCTTGTGTGGGTACTTTTTAATGCCCTCACTGCTGTGTATTATTTGTATAGAAGCTAGATCTATAGATCTACATGTAGCTATGTGAACCTTGCAAGTCTACTTTAGGCGAGACGGCTATTGCTGGAACTTGGAAGAGTCTTCTTTCTTTCTAACCATGTAACACACTTCGAAATTGGTCAAGAATTAAACTTTAAAATGTGGAACTTTTTTACAAATTTATTATAGAGCATGTAGAGCTTTGCATACCTTCCATGCGTTCTTTGTGAGAAAAAAAACGTTCGTCTGTGCAAAGACTTTGCAACATGGTAAGAGAATGCGATGGTCAGGAAAGCAGGCAATCAGATGTATCGTTGCCAGTTTGATGCTGACATTAAGACAGTAGCGATTGATTTAGTGTGAACAAGCGCGCATGGGGTATTCGCTGAATTCGGGGATACTCTAAGCGCATGCCTTTTTACACTAATTGGTATCGTCATGATAAAGAAATTTATTTATTTTTCCTTCCTTTCTTTCTCTGTTCCTCTTCATGTACAGATGATCCAGAGAAGGCCCGAAAAGCATGTCACTGTGACCCGTGCGAGTCAAAAAGGGCCCAGATTAAGGCCCCCACCACTTCCAGCACTGTCAAAAACTTTGCCAGGTAATTAGTTTCAAGTTTTGTTGTACTACAGACATTTTTTTCCATTGATCTCACATGCAGTATGAAATACCATGTGTTGAGGGCCAGAAAGGCAGTCAGTTCAAAAGAAATCGGTCAAAGCAGTCAGTCAAAGCAGTCTGTCAAAAAGAAAAGTGGATAATAATTGTAGCTCCTCCAAATTTCAAAATACCTCTACATGTAGGCTACCTCAAAAAAATTCCAGGTATCATAAAAAGGATTTTTGTTTCTCTTTTTAAAATTGTTTTAAAATAATAAAATACGAAATAGTTAGTTTTTTTGAAGTAGCCACTAGCCAGTAGTGCAACAACAACAAATAACCCACACACAATAGATATCAAATTATCAATCAACTCTGGGTAAAAGATATAGCTCTATTTACTTGGGCTAATTCTTTGCAAAGTCATTAGAATTAGATACCACAGTTACAATGGAAAATATTTGTCATTTTTGGGAATGCATGGCCATGGAAAGTCAAGTAAGTGAGTTTTTCAATGAGGATGGTGCTTATTTTCTTGCTATTCGCTTCATATTCTAGCACACTTACCGGTAGTCAATTTTACTCAGAACGTACCCTGTGATGTACAGGATTGGGACTCTGGAGATGAGATTATCAACAAATATTATTCTTTCTGTTATGAAACATTGTTCCAAAACATCTAACTTGTGAATGAATCAGTTTTTAATTTAAAGAAGAAATCAAAGCTTTATCTTACTCACAAATTGAAGCATTCCTATATTGATATTTTGTCTGCATTTTAACCACTCATGTCATTGACTCATTGAAAGGATTTATAATTTGAGTAACAGACTTTTAAAATTCAAAATTATGTCTTCTTTTCTCTATCAGGTGGACATTTTTGTTTTTGGCATGGGTCATCTTTATTCTAGTAGCGCTGAAAGCTTCCCAAGTAGAAAGAGATCATATTGAGTATGATCCCTTTGAAATTTTACAAGTAGACAGGGTAAGTGTATTTTCGAGGAGTCAGTGACGCAAAGACGTAACTCCATTTTGGCCTTTTTGAAAAAGGGTGGTTTATGTGTCACTGAGCACTTGGGCCTTAAGGAGTTAAGTCTGTGTTTCACTAGCCATTGACTTCAACAGGGTGTTGTGGAGTTAAGTCTTTGTGTTTCCTGGAAAGCACACATTTTTCTGAACTATTTGATATCAAATACTCAATTTGGCAAAATATGGAGTTACGTCTTTGTGTCACTGAACCCACGATATGTACATGTAGCTTATGACACAAGATTTACAGTTAAAGATAAAGTTGAGTTCTGGTCATGCGATTGCATTGTGAAAGAAACGGTGTGGAATCGACCAGAAAAGGTTGATCATCTAGCATATAAGAATTTGTGTGTATTGCAAGGTTCATCAAAATGATAAGAAATTTGGCCAAGTCTTGATAAAGTTACAAACACTGTACACATAAATATGTATATGGGACTACACGAACACGTGGTGTAAAAATGCTACCCGGATTTTTACGATGTTACACAACATATTTAGAATATGAAGGCATTTGAAGAGCCATGCTTTTCAGGGAACATGTCTTATCTGATGTTCTTCCACACTTGCAATAGGGACTTTTAGATTGAGTGGAGGAGAACACGATGAACGCCGACTGATCATGCGTGTCAACGTACTTAACTGCCCATGTTGACTACAATTATAAATCTTTTAGATTGCACTCGACGATAAACATGCATGCAGGAAGTAACACTATGAACATCATGGACAAAGAAAGAGGAAAAAATATACAGTTCCTCATTCTATCCTCAACAAAAGAACATCCCTTCACTGCTATTATGTAAAAATGTGTAGAACAGGTGAATATGCATGTGACACCTGTTCTACACATTTTTACATAATAGCAGGGAAGGGATGTTCCTTTGTCTACCTGAGGAACTGTATATTTTATGCGCACGCGGCATACTAGTACCTTGAGCATGTAAAGGCGCTATATAAATATCAATATGTATGTATGTATGTACTAGATTTAGGAAAATCAAGGTTGACACATTCTCGATCGCCGACTGAGACGACGTAACGCATGCGCAGTGCCTTAAAATGACGTCACACGTTGCAGTCAAAGCTGTCGACGTGCAAATCTAAAAGTCCCTATTATAAGAATGATAACACTCACAAATTATTTTTCTACTCTTCCCAGAACGCAACCTTCTCTTTAACTAAATTATTTATACCCCTTGTAAATTTGATGTATTATGTGTTTTTCGTATTCATACTAAAAAAAGAAAGTTGGACTAGTTGAGTAGGGGCATTTGTTGTATACTTTTCGATAAAAGCTTTAATATTTCATGTATAGGATATTAGCAATTTTAACTATTTATTAGGCACAACCGTATACAATTATTAGAATATGAATCCAAAGACTCAATATATATATATATTTGGAAAACACTGTAAATATTGGTTCAAAATGTGGATTGGCAGTTGTGCTGGGAAAAAAAGATGTTTATATGATATAAGTATATATTTGATATTACTTGATTTCCTGTGTATTCAAATTCATGAGATAACCATCCTCTTAGGCTGATATATGTAGAGGAATAATCTATTCCACTCGGCCCCCTTCCCCCCCCCCTTCTGCTTCTTGGAATCGAATGGCTTTACATTGTTCAGTTTCTATTTTTTGTTACAATGAATTGTTTCATCTGTATAAAACAGAAATAGTGATACTAAAGTAATACATAAATTCCATTTAGATCAATGTGAATATCAAATCAGTATTCTTTGTTTGCAACAAACTCAAGAACTTGTGGAAGACAGGTCTTTTAAACCATTTTTCTTTGTTTGATCAATACAAGGGAGCGTCAGAGGCAGAGATCAAACGTCAGTATCGTAAACTCAGCAAGTTACACCATCCTGACAAAGAGGGCGGCGATGCGTCCATGTTCATGAAGATCGCTAAAGCTCATGCTGCGTAAGTCAACTACATGTACTGTAACTCCTTTTATATATGCCACACAAATAATCTCCCTGTGCCATATTGTATTTTTCAAGGAATAGATATACCAAATGATTCAAGATTATTTAATTGTTTCCAGTTCAAGATTAATAAATACCAGTAATACTAGGGCTGTCATAATGCTAAGCAAGACCAGAAACAAAATGGGTAAATTTGCAAATCCATTTTGTCGCACAAGGCAATCCTTCCGTCAACTTTTGCCTTTTTTTGTTTGTGCAAAATTGCTCGTGTGGCAAACAGGCAACCGTGCAGAGAGGCAAAGAGAGCAAACGGAGTGTTTATTTCAGTATGCTTTATCTAAAGCATTTAGAAAACACTTTAGACTTTGGAATACAATAAAATTCATCTGTGGCCACCTCTCTTTAGTTCTCATGTATTTTGTCTCCCTCAAGAATGAAATGTGTGCTGTAGAGCCTGTCTAGAGTGGTCACTATCTCTGTTTTCCCTTAGGTGACCTTAATAGACGGGTTTGACCTGATTTAGATTTCTCTTTGAGTCAGTGTATAATATATGTGGAATTTATGTCAGGAATATTTCTGAAAATCAACTTGATTAAAAAGTTGGCAAGGAGGGGTAGAAGTTTATCTGTTGAAGAAGATATAAACATTAGTAAATGGAACATTTAAACTACTTTATGATATATTTCAAAGTGTAGTCTGACAAATGTTGTACTGGCAATATTACATAATGTTATGATATTCAGGTGAAATTTTGATGAAGGATATGGGTCAGTGAAATATAAGAAGATGAAGAAAAAAGAACTAGATGGAAGGTAATTTTGCCCTTCAAGTATTATAATGAGCTTTGTCATTGAAGTATGAAGAAAAAGCCCTATTTTGTAATACTATTTTGTCAGTCAGTTGTAACACATGAAATTGTCCCAAAAGGACTCGTGATATATCACTGGGATAAGCCTCGGAAAATACAATTTTATTACTTTTTAAAAATCTCTTTCCACCCTGTCATTGTTTTTATACAGGTTAACAGATGAAGAGTCGAGAAGGAACTGGGAAGAGTATGGCAGCCCTGATGGCAGACAAGGTAATGAACATCCCTAAAAGATGGTATCTTGCTCTAAGAACCTCTGTGGGCCAGCATGACGTTAACTCTGTGTCAAAGGATTTTTCATTTCATTTATTTATAGAAAACATGTAAAACACAAACATGTGCTTTGGATCAAAATACGAATAAATTCACTGAAACAAACATACAAACAAACAATTAATTGACAAAAAGGGGGAAATAATGTGAAAACTAGTACATGGATGGGGAAAAATAAAAGTAAAGTTGCTTGCCAGGGTTATTGCCCAGATTAATAATTGTGTTGGAGGGGGGGGGGGGGGGGTCATTATATATCAGTTACCGGGCTAGGTAGAGAATTGCATACTAAACTATTTTTTTGTTTTTTGTTTTGTTTTAAAGCTTTATATTTGTGTGATTGTGAGAGCATTCACATGATTAATACAATTAGTGAAATTTACATTTATCATATATGTTTTTCTCATAACACAGCAATGTGATTTAAAACATGGTCACAAACTGGAAGAGTGAATGTTTTCCTTGCAACTGAGTGATATTAATTGACATCAAACCCTTTAAAGTAAACAGCAGTAGTTGTGAAAACTTGTGTAAAAATGGCATATGTCTTTTAATAGCTTTAAAATATGGATATATGTTCTTCCTTTCCTCCTCCAGCCACAACTTTTGGTATTGCTCTGCCTGCCTGGATTGTGGATCAGAATAACTCTGTATGGGTAAGTGAACTTCAGGTACTTACATGATATCGTTAGTTTGGAGCCAGAAGGGTGTTAACTCATATACTGTACCACAGAGTTATTGACCTTCTGGCTCTGAACAGGTGATAGGAGGTTTGTCACCATGATGACAAATGTGAAATTCAATATTGAAATTGACTATGCGCAACATTTTTTTTCTTCCAATGACAGTGGGAAGGTGCACATACGTGATGCATTGAAGGTTGAAGATGGTTTGTGTCTTAATTTAAATAAGGAAAGGGAATTGGCTTTGAAAATTTCCAAGTGATCAAGTTATAATCCCTTTGCTTTTGATTAGGATAATGTCAAGTTTTGGCAAGGCTAAGGGAAATCCTTTAAAAACAGAAGAATACCATTTCCTTCTTTCGCAAGACTGTCTTCTCATATGACAGAAAGGGCTACAGTGTATGTCATTCAATTCATATTTTCATGATTCATTGTATTGCCTTATTTGCCAGGTTGTTATTTGAAGAAAAGACAAATTTTAAACAAAATATTGGAATGAAAAGGAATTGAATCATGTCAAAAGCAAGCTGTAACATGTAAAGCTGTCATGGTGGAGTGGTTTAAGCACTTGACTTGAAATTTAAAGGTCGTTGGTTCAATCCCCGACGCGACACTAATGTCTTTTGGCAAGGCATTAATCTATATTTACTACTCCATACCCGGGAGAGAAATGGGACCCTGTAGGATGACAAAAGCCTTTGTGTTAGTAATTGCCATACGTGTATGCCCTCAAGGTGACCATATCGTAAGAATACTCCCCAGAGTATGGAGATGGTGCACATTGTGCGCCAATGAATCTGATGAAAGGGGTAATAATATCTGTAAAGTGCTTAGAGACTGTATTTCGTTTGAAGCGCTATATAATTCCAGATTATTATTATTATACAAAAGATTGAAACCAATTTACAAGTTTCTGATTCATCATCCAAGAGTGAGTTAGACACAGCTTCCCTAATACTTTAAATCATCTTTCCCTTCTTGCCTTGTTCTCTAGGTGTTGGCTGCATATGGATTAGCCTTCATGGTCATCTTGCCAATTGCTGTGGTGAGTATTTAACCCATCAGAGTACATCGTCAGTGAAAAAAAATGTTATAAATGAAGTCACACTTTATATGTAGGTTGCTTCATTGGTTCAACTTGGTATTTCATAAGGCTTGTTTCATGTATGATGTAAACTGCAGCGGTTTTGTAATGATGTCGTCAGATGCAAGCAATAGGTGTGACAAATGCGATTCACTGATCAGACTATTAATATAAATATTAGGATCAAATACACCATGCAATAATGTTTTATTGCTGGGATGCATGGCATTACTATAATGTTTGGTAGAAAATATGTGTATGGAATGTGAAAGTGAGAATATACTGATAAGAATAAAGTTAACTGATAGAAATATAAGCAGTGATTTGCTCGAATATAAAAATAAATGATTGTTATTGTTTTTTCTTATCAGGGTACGTGGTGGTATAGATCCATCCGCTACACTGCAGTAGAGATCCTGATAGACACCACACAGCTTTTCATGCACTTTCTCTACAAGACCCCTTGTATGAACCTCAAACGTGAGTACAATCAATCTCTCAAAATCAATCAAGGTTCCACTTAAAGGGATCGTTTAACAATGTTAAATCTAAGATACACGGCCCTTCGTGTTATCAGTGTCTGTGATATGGTGTAATTTTGAAGCCCTAAAAAATTGCGCTTCAAAATGATCAAAAAATGCCTCAAAAAATTAAAAATCTTTGAGTGACCGGTTTTACCATACTTGTTTTCCCCAATAGACTGTAGTGTTATACAAACCGTTTTCAAAATTTGTAATTCCAATCATAAATATGTTGATAATCAAACAGGCGATCGGTTTGTAAAACTCATGGGGTTCCTGACTGACCTAAAGGTTTATAATTATGATTGCATCATGAGCTAAATCCAGAATTTTGTTTCAGAATCTGAGACAAAGTTACCGGATCCCTTTACCAGAATGTTGCATCATTAAGAAAGGATTTCTTTGAAACATTCCAAATGGTTTTTTGGACTGAAGTTAGCTGCTAGTTTTTGACAAAAGATGCCCTTTGCATACATGCCAACTGTTCAGATTAAAGAGGAACATTCCTCTTTTTGGGAGAAGATAATTATCATTTTAATGCAGGTGTTCCTCTTCCTGTACAAATTTGTCTGTAGTATTGAATAGGAGAGTTAGGATTGTTCCTCTTTTTTTTGAAAATAGCATAATTTGTACAGATTTCTGATTTTCAAATGTTGACATGTATGCCTTTGGCTATCACCGCCTCATAGATCTATGCCAGACCCCTCCACCCCCTGATGAAATTGTTCAGGAGTCAGAGTGTTGCATTGCTTACACTTGAAGAGGTGTTGTGGTTGGGTTGATATGAATCAAATGGTTGAGGCTCAGAATCCCTGCCGCAAACTAAATTACCTTTGGCCAGAAAACTCATCTACATTTGCCACTCTCCAACCAGGTGAAGTAAATGGGTACCCGATCAGTAGAATTTCCAGAAATCTGGAGAATTTTTTGGTACATGTAGCTCTGCTAAAGCCAGGTAAATAATTGACTTAGCAAACCACAGTGGAAATTACTGTATAGTGGCAACATCTCTGTATGAAAATGTATACAATTGTATCTTTGTTCAGTAATTCATTTTGACCAACAGGCACTTTTATTCATTTATAGATGTCTTTCCCGGCATTATTTTACCTAGGAAGAATGTTTTGGAATAAGTATTTATTTTGTTGATTACCTTTTACAATACAATACAATACAATACAATGAACATTTAGGGCGCCATTCCCATAAGGCTCAGAGCGCTAACATCAAATAATATTATTGGTCTTTACTACATGTAGTAATTAAAGGCTACAATTAGATATTCCATATAAAATATTAAATTCAATTGATTAAATTAAATACCTAAACATAGAGGAGAATTCAGGTAAAGAGATGAGTTTTCAGAGCCTTCTTAAAAATATCGATAGAGGCAGATTGTCTGATGGACATGGGGAGATTATTCCACCCTTTGGATGCTGCTACCGTGAAAGTCCTATCCCCGGCTTGGACACGTGTAATTGGATAATTTAGACGGAGGTTATCATTTGAAGATCTGAGATTTCTGCTTGGTGTATATAAAGTTAAACAATTAGACAGGTAATTGGGAGCTAGGTGGTGCAATGATTTATAGACATATAAGAGTAACTTAAAAATGATTCGCTGTTGAATTGGAAGCCAGTGAAGGGAATTAATTAATGGTTGAGCTGAATGACTTCTACCGACCTCAAACACAAGACGTGCTGCCCAGTTTTGTAGGCGCTGGAGACGGTTTACATGTAACTTTGGAAGAGAGGAAAGAAGTCCATTACAATAATCAAGTCTAGAGAGAATTAAAGACCTTACAGCATGATGACAAGTTGATTGATCAATATATCTACGAATTCGTGATATGTTCCTTAAGTGAAAAGTGACCGTTCTACTAACATTGTTAATATGTGAATTCATACTCATATGAACATCAAAGAATGCGCCCAAGTTTTTAATTGTGTCTGTAGGTTTTACGGAAATATTTCCTATGGTGAGAGTTATGTCTGGCAATTTTCTAAAATTGTGTGGTGAAGCAGCAATAAAAAACTCTGTCTTACTGTCGTTCAATTTCAACTTGTTAATGGACATCCAATTCTTTATATCACAGATGCAGTTTTGCAGTGACAACAATGCACAATCTAATTCACCACGTATTTTGGGATCAAATGAAACATATAACTGTATATCATCCGCATATACATGGTATGACACATTATGATGCTGAGTAATATCACTAACCGGGAGGGTGTAAATTGTAAAACCAACAGGACCTACTACAGAACCTTGTGGCAGACCAAACTTGGAAATGATAGGCGCAGACAATTCCCCTGCAATGTCTACTTGTGTTGACCAGCCATCGAGATAAGACTGGAACCATTTTAGGGCAGTGCCTTTGATACCAATCCTCGTTGATAAACGACAGACTAGGATATGATGGTCGATGGTATCAAAGGCTGCTGACAAGTCTAATAATACCACAAGAATTACTTTGTTTGAGTTAATTGAAAACATAATATCATTCTTCACCTTGATCAAAGCAGTTTCTGTGCTATGTCGGGGTCTATATGCAGACTGAAATGGGTCAGCAAGATTGTTAGCTTCAACATGCTCCATTAGTCTTGAGCAAGCTACTTTCTCAATGAGTTTTCCTACATACGTTAAATTAGACACAGGTCTATAGTTCTTAATATTATTCTTATCCATGGATGCATTTTTCAAGAGAGGCTTAATTACAGCACGATGAGCTCCTTTAGGAAAGATACCAGATGATAAGGAGATATTCACAATATTAGTGAGTACAGGTAGAAGATGATCAATATTCTCTTTCAAGAACCATGTCGGTATAGGATCTAAACGACTAGATTTACTAGGAGATCTTGTAATGATTTTCAAAAGATCACTTTGGGAAACTGGTCTTAAGACTTCAAGCGATGGTATATCATCATTCAAAGTATTATTGAAGTCAGGCAATGGCATAACAGGAAGGTTATCAAGTTGATCACGAATGGTATTCGATTCTTTACAGGTCGAGTCTTAATTGTTGCTGGTGCATATGTGTCTAACAATTCTTCCATTCCAGATTCATACCATTCGAACAAAGGGTCAACATCCACATTAATTGGTTTGGATGATAACAACTCAGTTAGTGAGTTAACAAATTGATTCTTATCGATTTTACGATAGTTGCGAAGAGTTGATACAGTTTGCATAGGTATAGGTTTTGGAAGCTGCAAAGTGAAACACACAATATGATGATCAGACATACATGTTTCATCAATGTAACAATCCTTAAGCAAAGATTTATCAGATTCATCACAGCGGGTAAACACCAAGTCTAAGGTGTGCCCAAGACTATGTGTTGGGCCATTTACACATTGAGCAAAACCAGCAGCAGTTGTTGTTGAAGAGAAATGAATAACATCATTTTTAGAGGGATTATCCCAGTGGACATTAAAATCACCCAGTAAAATTAGCTTTCCTGGAAGAAGAGATACTTCATTTACAAAATCATCAAATTCACTAAGAAAATCTGCATTAGTGAATCCATTCATTGGTGATGGGGGTGGCCTATATACAACTATAAAATTGACTGAGTAAGAACTATTAGTGATATGTACGCATTCGAATGTAGAGTAAACTAGATCATCATTTCGCCTAATACGCATCTTAAGTGGAGTTTTAAACAACATAGCAATTCCGCCTCCACGAGTACTAGAGTCACGAGGCTCATTTAGGAAAGTATAACCAGGAGGGGTACACTCACCTATGACAACATTATCATTTTTGTTTAGCCACGTCTCAGTTAAAATCATTACATCAGTGTCATGTTCACAAATATAATCAACCAGATCAACTGTCTTATTTCTTATAGAACGAGCATTCCAAAGAGAACATGTTATGCCAGACTTTACATTAGGATTATATTGAGAAGGATATATCAAATTGTTTCGATTAGATCCTTGTGACCGATCTTCGTTGGTGTGTCTTGGTCTTCTTCTTCCGGATGTGACCACGGATATCGGTGAAGTTACAGTACAGAGCTGAAGTGCAACGGATATATTTGACTGTTTCTCGTGTCTGATGCTGGCTTTTCCGTAGCCACCTCGAGTCCCTCTGCGTGTTTTCTTTCGGTGAATTCCATAAGAATGAATGATGTCGCAAATATCCCGTGGAAGCTGTGCCTTGGAATGTCTCCATTTCAGAAGTTCAGCTGGGGTATACTTGATGTAACGTTGAACTTGATGAGTAGCACGATGAATGGCGGATGTGGAAGAAACACATCCATCTTGCATATGGGGCCCTGGATTTGGATGAACATCTCCGGCATGAAAAAGTTCTAACTGAAAGGAGGCAGTGCAGTTAGAGCTGTATGGTATTCTCCTTTTTAGAAAGTGCTTTCTGATGAATGTTCCACAATGAAAAGACTGCACAAAAGACTGATCTTTACAATGCACAAAGTCAGTCAGAGAAGTGTATAAACAAAGTACAACAAAGACTTTGAGATGAATAGACCCCATTGTGCTCAGATTGTAATCCAGATGTTCAGGTTCATCCAGGCAAACACTGTACAATAGATGATGCTACTTACACAGTGATATATAGGAAGAACATGGCAAACCGAATACTGCAAAATCAAATCTATCCAAATACTTTTACACTGAAATATGACATAAATATATTACTTTACCAACTGCAACTTGTCTAGTGGCTCCTAGGTACTATTACAAAACAAGTGGTAGCAATACAATCATATGAAATATCCAAATTACAAGTAAAATTTAACTCTTTTGGAGAGCAAGCAAAGAGCATGTGCAACATGCTAGTGCGCTCATCCAATTTGTGATTTCTTTCCACGTTACAGGTGCCTTGATGATCTTATCTGGATCATTTGAGTTTGAGAAGAGTCATAACAGTCAGGTCGTCAACAGACCAAGCGACAATGAAGAGCTCCCTCCTGTGAGTATTATATGCCAATGTTACTTTTCTCTGCCTGGGTTTGTTTTCAATACTACAAAGGAAAGTTGATAGAGCAACATATATGTATTTAAAGCCTACATGTATCTGCACTAGTTTGGTCGGGAGGGATTAGACCTCCCTGCATGGTCACTGACAGGTGGTTATCTCATCAAATCAGCTCTCTATTATTTGTGCCATATAAAATGTATGTCTTTTTTCTTTCTTTTTGGTAAATTATCACACTTTGCCTTGCTTTTTTCAAGCTGTTGAAGGCAGATTTTTGCTCTATTTGAATAATTATATACTATTAAACATACATTAGTTCATCCAAAAAATATCTTATCATTTAATCATCTTTAATTGCATTGCATTTCTCGGACATGCAACAAAACTGTAGACAAATTCTGTTTATTGTTCTCTTTTGTAGCTTGTGAGGGAGTTTTCAAATGACATTGGTCTGAAGAACAAGGAGCGGCCATTCTGCTATCCGTACAGTGTGAAGGTCCGGACACTGATATACGCCCACCTTGCTCGGGCAGACCTACCCCCTAAAACATTGGATGTCGGTGAGTATTTGCTTTGAATGATTCAATCTTACTGAATATCCAGGTTTTTCAATCATGGTATTGCTTCTTGTGAATCTTGTTGCAGATATTGTCATCAGGGGTTACAGTTTTCAGGCTCTTGTCTGATTTTAGGCCCTATCAACTTTAGTTCCAGGCCTTTCCACGCTTCATACTGCACAGGATGTATGGCCTGTATCATGTGCGGGTCTCTTCTCAAGTCAATTAGGTCAATCCAACTGATTCATTTTGTTGCAGATATTGTTCCAAGTTATTCGACTATACAATATTTAAGAACCCTTTTTAGATTGATGTTGTAGATTGTAACATCTTACAACATATTTAATATGACCTCTATCTTAAATGATGCACCCAAAACTGTACCTAGATTATGATATAATACGATATAACCTAATATTGACTAGCAACCCATACACTAACCTAATGATTTATACAGGATAATTCCTGAAGAAAATGTTTTGGGAGCTATTGTTGGAATGATTAGCATGATATATTGTGGACCTTGTGTGATTGCTTTTTGTAGATCGTCTCTATGTTGTGAAGAAATGCCCTCAGCTCATTCAGGAGATGGTCAACACAGCTGCACAACTCATCTTCTGGCACAAAATTAACAAAGGAAATCGTGAGTTGATAATTCTTTCTTTATTATTTAAGTAAGAAATCAAGGAAACCGGGCAGCATTTTAGGTAAGTACAAGTTCACTGACAACCCATATTACATTTAACCCTCGTTTCAATGGGACTTCTGTAAACTTGTATTTATAACAGTTTTATGTAATAATACCCAGGAGTTCTTAGTCGGGAAGCGTGATCCCTGTGTGGGTCTTAAAACAAGTTCTTGAGTAGTGAATGTGTCATGGAAGGAACTCATCCATTCAAATGTTATGTTAGGGTGTGTGAAAAGAACAGATATGTCAAATGGGGTCACTGAAGTAAACTCTTGGATTAAACAATTGAAAAAATCCCTAAATGTAATGTGCAAAAGTTCTTGAATAGTGATTGTGTCTTGGAAGTAACGCATCCATTCAAATTCTACGTTCAGTTGGTTTAAAGACCGTCACCACTACTGGGCCAGAAGGGATCAGACCACACAGAGAGCCATCGAGGTCACTGTGACAGGTGGCTATCTCATTAACTCAGCTCTCATTTAACATAAGAAAAAGAGGATCATGGGGGACCAACAGGCACCGATTGGGGAAGTTTTCTATATAGAGGGAGCAAGTAGCTACAAGTATGGCAGTGTGCCTTTAAAGGAACAGATATGTCAGATGGGGTCGGGGGGAATAAAAATGAAGTAAACTCTTGGATCAAACATTTAAAATAATCAAGTATTATCATTCTTGAAATTTGATTTTTACTTCAAAAATTTGAATTATGAAATGAAATATCAACCATGTGTAGCTATATAAGTAATAATAATAACAATTATTTTGTTTCTTCCACTGCTGCTGTAAACACTTACCCAATCAATGATAGAAATGATTGAAATTGAAATTTAGCATCACTTATTAAATCTTTCTTTCTCTTTTGTTTTTTTCCAGCTTCCAAAGAGCCAAGGCTGGAGACAATAGAACACATCATGAAGCTGAGTCCAATGGTTGTACAGTCCACATGGGATAAGTCCCCACTCATGCAGCTTCCACACTTCACAGAAGAGACGCTAAGACTGTGCCAGTCAAAGAGGGTAAGCAGAGCAGGGGCAGGGCTTCTTGACAGATGGTAGCACACTTGATGATCAGATGGGCGTTTCACAAAACTTGTCATCAGTGACAAATGACAGTTTTTGTTATAAGCTACTGAAATCCTTGCTTCTGATTGGTTATCAACAGATTTGTCACTGATTTTTGTCATTTGTCATTAAAAAAAAGGGTTTGTGAAACGGGTCCCTGATCAAACATGAGGGACTTGACCTAAACGGTCTGGAGGAGAGGGGGCAGGGAGGGCAACAAGAAGGAATTGGAATGACAAGTTCTACTATGATTGTAAAGTGTTTTTTTTTTTTTTAATTAATGTAATGCAGTATGTTACACATTTGATGATCAGATTAAACATGGAGGAAAGAGAGGAGTGAGGGGGGGGGGGGCAAAAAGCATGGATTGGAGGGATTGATAATACCATGAATGTTTCGAGCATTGAAATGTTCACGTATTGCGTTATGTAAATGCGTTTTTAATCAGTATTATTGAAAGAGAGACAGACGAAGAGAAAACAAAAAGTCAGAGACACAGTCAGAGATATACACAAAGATTAGGATGAATACAAATTCACAAACCTAGAATGAAAGAAAGTGAGAGAAAAGCTATGATAATAAAGCCAAAGAATTATAGGGGGGGAATTCCCCCTTTTTATGGGATTGCTTGTGTGATATCTCAACTGCCTTGAAGGTCCTGTTTTCCAGGCAAAATACAATAGAAAAATGGCAAAATAAAATGGAGGAGGTAAAAGAGGGGAAATGTGGATGCCGATGGGAATAGACATAAACATATTTATTTGTTATATAATCCTTCTTGCAATTAAGTTTGCTAAATTACTTCCTTTTTTTCTTCCAATTACAGAAAAATGTTAAAAGTATATCACAGTTCATCAAGCTGAAAGATCTTGACAAGAGGTAAGTTACATGGATCACAATTGGTTTAAACCTCAGTATACAACCCTTCTGTGCTGCCAAATTTGTGAATGATAATAATAATAATGATATTGATGATAATGATAATGCTAATAATAATAATCTGGATTTATACAGCGCTTAATACAAAATACAGTCTCCAAGAGCTTTACAGATACCATTACCCTGGTCATTGGATTCGTTAGGGATCCTTAGGGATACTCCTACCATATGGTCACCGTGAGGGCATATCTCAATTACTTACACAAAGGCCTTCCTCATCCTACCAGGTCCCCATTTCTCTCCTAGATGTGGAGATGCAATTGTAGATCAATGCCTTGCCAAAGGAGATGACCCTGAAAGGCCAAGAGTTGATCAGTTTGTGGAATCTGCTTGGCAGTGTCACTGTTTAATAGGTAGTGTGATATTGATGATATGTTGTGCTCTTGGTAATATAGAAAGAACGAAAGAATTACTGAGATTTAACGTAAAGGAATGGTATTAATGTTGTCTCTTTCTAAGCCAAGTGTCACGTTTAAGGATTCAGACATATTGTTTTGCTGTTTTTGCAGGTATATTCTTCGTCATCTAGATGAAAGGCAGTATCAGGATGTGCTTAACGTCTGTGCTAGTCTGCCTCTGATAGATGCAGACCTTAAATTAGAAGGTAGGAATTACTTTGAAAATACAATCTATCAACTGAAATTTAAAAAATCAGTCCATTAGCATACAGTGTAAGGGAGAAGTGAAAGATAATAGAAATATTAAGATTTCATAGATGTATTTTAAAAGAAATGGGCAATTTCAGATCATTTCTGTTTTGATAATTGTTTTTTTTTTAATACCTTATTTTATGCAGACTTAATCATTTTTAGATAGTACATCATCTCCTATTTTTCTTCACTTTTTTTTCTCTTTTTTTTTCTTACATATTTTCATTGCCCTATAATTTAATCGTATTCATGTAGCATAATATACATGAAGTAAACCCATTAATGAATTTGAAATTTTAAGACTGAACAAATATATCTACCATATGATTTGTTTCAGTTGTTGACGACGATGACAAGGCTACAATAACAGCTGGAGCCTTTGTGACTGCCACAGTGTATCTCAGGAGAGATACATTTACAGTAAGTACCACCACATTATGATTACAATGATGATGATAATAATGATGTTAATAATAGTAATGATAATAATAATAGTCACATTTGTGTATGAGCTAGATACTTCATTGGAATTATAGTCCCCCATTCATCAGATTCAATTGCTAATCCACACATGCTAGTGTACATGCTCCAATCCTAGGGAGTATTCCGGCCAAGTGCCATTTTTCAGGCGCACACATGCCAATAATCCAACATCATTGAGGTTTGCATCTTAATACTGGGTACCCATTTGACACCTGGGTTGAGAGTGGCAAATGTAGATTAATGTCTTGCCAAAGGTCATCAGTGTCATGATGGGACTTAAACCATGAACCATGTGATTTCTGGTGCGATGACATATCATGGTCTAGGACTGGATGAGGATGGTATACCACTTTTGCTTTTAAATATTTTGTTTTTCCTACATGCAGTTATTTGTTAAAATATTTTTTTAGGGGGTTTGTTCATGTTTACAAATATGCTTAAAGTTGTCTGAGGTAAGATATTGTGAGTAATGTATCTAAAATGTAGATGTGTATTGAGTACCATTCCTGGAATCATATTGCAATATTCTTCACATACCGCAAATCCCCCTCCTCCCCCCCCCCCCCTTTTTTTTTCTCTGGTTTATGTTTAGAGACCATATCTTGTTTTTTGTTTTGTTCTTGTACAGTTACAATCAGATGGTGATATAAGCAGTAGTAACATGGCTATAGAAGCAGGCGGCGACACAGAAGATTTAAAGACAGAAGAGAAGGTGGGTACTTCTAGAGTCTTAAAGGGAGAGGGCCGTCAGTTATATACAACTTTTATATCTATTGATGATTTTATATAGTCTATTATCCTCACATCTGTTTAAACCCTTTAAAATTCTAGATAGACAAATAGAAGTAAGAAAGTCAGCTAACAGGATGGAGTTTAGAAGGATAAATAAAGCATTACCTATTTAATTTTTTTTTTTTGGACAAAACCTGTTCAATCAAATTTAATTAATCGTTTGAAGAGAGGCAAGGAAATGAATAATATGTGATCAGCATTTCAATGCTTTAGTATCAGTCTAGTTGAGAAGAGGACTATGCCAAAAAAAGGAAAGTGAGAATGATAACTTATATCATCATGTACTGATTGTGACTTTCTTTGATATTTCTAAAGGATTCTCCATCTGTCAATAAAAATAAGCCCAAGGCCTGGGAGAAGCAGCAGAAGAAGAAGAAAGGAAAGACAGGTGGTGGTGGAGGTGGTAACAAGCCCAAACCCAAGAAGCAACAAGAGAAAGAAAAAGAAAAAGAAAAGAAGTCTGCCACGAAGCCTGCCTCTCTGACAGCTAACAGCACTCCTTCTAAGGACAGCACTAATGATGATAACCTTGATGTCATGGCTGTGAGTATTTGATCTTACAAACAAATGACATGTGCAAAATAATTTGTAACATTGTATCATTGGATTCCGCACATCGAGATACAGGTTTACTTGGGTTTCGCTGGTCGTTAACCTGTTACATGCAATGGATTTAGATACAGCACCTGCAATTATTTTAAGTTGAGCTAAGCATGAACTGGTTATGTTTCCACTCTAAAATTTTAATGTTATGAGGTGCCAAATGGTGCAACATAATGGCTTGTTCAGAGACAAAATCACTGCATATTTTTGTTTACTTAAAGATAAAGTCGAGTTCTGGTCATGTGATTGCATTGTGAAAGAAATGGTGTGGAATCGATAACAAAAAAGTTGATCATGTAGCATTTAAGTAGTGGTGTGTACTGCATGTTTATGGAGTCATCAATATAATAAGAAATTTGGCCCAGTCTTGGTAAAGTAACAAGCACTGTACACAGGAAAATGCATATGGGACTACACAAACATGTGTCATAAAAATTGGGACTTATTTTTAAGCTGTTACTTGTCATATTTAGAATATTGAGGCATTTGAAAAGCCATACTTTTCAGGGAACATTTTTTCTCTGATGTTCTTCCACACTTGCATGATGACAATGATAACGCTCAGAAATTATTTTTCACCTCTCCGCAGAACTCAACCTTCTCCTTTAGTGTAATAAGCTTCGCATTTCTGAATCGGATAACACAGAGCTCAGTGAATACGCCAAGCCTTTGTTGCGCACAGTTTCTATTCATTTTACACGTTAAAGAAACGCTGCAGCTTTTTTGCAGTGGTTTACTGCGTCATATCTTAACAAGACTTAAGTATTATGTTTGTTGGGAATTCTTCTAAATCATAAGTCACAATTGTTACCCAAAATTGTTAATGTTGACTTTGCACTAAGATTTATATATCAAGTGGATTTCGCACTTTCAGATAACTTTTTTTTCGTCCCTAGACATTTTGTTGAAACATGAACTTTATAGTTTAAACTTTTCGATTCAGCCATGCTGTAGACTAGTAGCTTCTGTCACTTTCCATGTTTCTGAATAACTTTTAAAGGGACTTGGTAACATTAGTAAGATGAGAGATAGTGGTGCTAAGGTAGTGACTTCAATGCTAGATGTATAATTAAAGATAATCTGAAAATTTTAGTGAAAACGGACCATTATTCATGGTACAAATAGGGGAAAACTGATCTGATCGATTCCTTAATTCTCCCAACTATATTATTACAATTTAATTACATTTTAGGTGAATGGAAATCGTCACAAAGCAATAAAATGGCTCTACATTCCATTCCAGACTTTTTTTCATGGAGAAACGGTTGGGAAACTTCAAAAATGTTTGGGAGAATTTAGTGTTAATCACTGTTAGAGGGTGTCATACATCGACCTTTTCTAAGAAAACCATAGATATCTTCGTGGTTTGAGAATTTTGTCAGGATTTTTTGCATACATGTCAGAGGGTTAGTACAGTAGAAGGAATATAGCAAGCAACAATGTTACCAAGTCACTTTAAAGCCTATCTGCACTAGTTTAGCCAGGAGGGATTAGACCTTCCTGCATGGTCACTAACAGGTGGTTATCTCATCAAACCAGCTCTCTATTAACATATGAAAAAGGGGACCATGGGGGACCAATGGTCACCGCTTAGGCATTGTTTGCTATATAGAGGGTGCAAGTAGCTATCAGTAGTGTAGGGGGGCTTTAACATGTCTATGTTCTCATCCTTTTTGTTTGCAGGTTGATCAGGACGATGAAAACGGGAGTGGTCTGGACAGCGATGATGAGGCCAGCCAGAAGTCTGCAAGGTAATTATTCTATCAAACCAAACCTATTTTATCAAATGTATTAGGTATCTGATAACAGAATTTTGTGTTATGATCCATTTGCTGTATGATGTATGTGCATCTCTCTCCCCCCCCCCCCATTATGATTATCTTCTACTTCCATAATGATTATATACTGTTTTTAGTACAGTTGAACCTCTTTATAATGAGGTCCTTGGGACCATGGAAATTACCTCGTTATATCAGGAATCTTGTTGTATCAGGGTGAAATAAACCAAAAGAATATAAAGAGATGGGACCAGCAAATTTGACAAGTTATATCAGATACCTCGATATATCAGTGCTCTTTATAATGTATGGCCACTGTATTAGGACTGATAGCTTAATTCTTGTTCCCTCAGTCCAATGACAATCTGATGTTTAATACATAAGTATTTTCCTAAAGCTAATGTACAGTTTTGTTAGCAAAAGGGAAACTGAAAAGAAACATGTGTTATCCTGGTATAAAAATTTAAGAAAATCATGTGGTATCTTTGCATGATTTCGGATGAATCGTAGTGTAAATATCTACAAGGAATACTAAATGACAACCATACACTCCCCTACACTAGACCCTTCCACCCCAATGGCTCCTAGTACATTAATCTTAGCGCTTCGCTTGGAGATGGCATGTAGATTATAGTATATACACTCAGTCCTCATAGGTTTTACATGTGTGAATTGCAGGTTACCATTGTTACTTGACATTCCAGGATGGTATCTAAATGGTTTTCTACCTCTCATTTGTCTAATATTTCACTTGAGGAAAAAATTTACAGCAGCTTAGTAGCTCCCTATTTATAAAATCATGAAATATTTTGACGGAAAGCTTTGAGGCTTCTTACTGAAACTGTACATGACCTTTAAGTGATGCTCCCATGTACCAAGGTAATGATAGAATGCTTTTTTGTTTTTCAAAGTTAAAAGTAAATTTGTCTCTCTCTCTCTCTCTCTCTCTCTCTTTACTGTTCCAGTGATGAAGAAGTAATAGAGGATGCCGGAGAGGATGAGGAGGAGTGGGATGAGCTTCAGTCTACTCTGACTAGGAAGGAGAAGGTCCTGGAAGGCATTAGTAAAGAATCTCATGAGGTTCACTCACCTTACTACCCAGAGGTATATATCCCCTCCCTGCCCCCTCCCCTAATGACATTTCAACCTAGAGACTCCCAAATTATCCCATTCCCCTCGGTTTCATCCAGGGACAGCTTGGTTCCTTTTGAGAGTTTGATTACACAGTATGTACTTGGAAGGCGCTGTAGCTATTGACTTACTTGAAACAAGACTTTCCTGATGTACATTATAAATAATTCTCCCCCCCCCCTCCCTCTCTGTGATATTGAACCCTTTTCTTCACAAATATCTTTTACACTAAAGAAGGAACTAGAGTACTTATGAAATTTACTCCCCATCCTTTTTGGATGATGTATTTCCCCCATAATATTTTTGACCTGTACGCACTTGGAAAACTTGTACCTTGTAGGTTTTCATGCTATTTCTACTAATGACAATTTAGTGTACCCAGGGAAGCCCCATCAGCTTCAACGCTATTCTTCCTGAGGGCCCTGAAATTATTATTACCCCAGCAATTGCCAGGTACCCATTTACACCTGGGTGGAGAATGGCAAATGTGGATTAATGTCTTACCACAGGACTTTAGTACCGGGCTGGGATACAAAACTTTTACCCTTAGATTTAGAGTCAAGTGAATGAACCACTAAACATCATACCGTGACACCTCCACTTCTAATCAATGGAAGAAGAATCTTGACAGAAGTTATTTTGACTTTAAAGGGACTTGGTAACGTTGTTCAGATAAGAGAATTGGTGCTTAGGTAGTGAATTCAATGCTAGATGTACAATTAAAGATAGTTGAGTGAAAACGGACCATTATTAATGATACAAATTGAAAAAAAATGATCTGATCGATTCCTTAATTCTCCCAACTATATTATTACAATTTAATTACATTTTAGGTGCATGTAAATCGTCACAGGCAATAAATTGGCTCTACATACCATTCCAGACATTTAAGTGTCGGAAGATTTTTAATAGCCTGTTGTATGTCTTTTTTTCATGGAAAACGATTGGGGAAAATTCAAAAATTGTTGGGAGAATTTATTGTTAATCACTGTTAGAGGGTATTGCACAGTGACGCCTTCAAAGAAAACCATAGATATCTTTGTGGATTGAGAATTTTTTCAGGATTTTTTGCATGTCAGAGGGTAAGTACAGTGGAAGGAATAATGAGTAACATTTTATATAAAAATTAAGCAATTTTCCATCGACCTTCCACAATGTAACCAAGTCACTTTAATGTATTTTGTTTTGTTGTGTCTTCTTATCGTACATCAGGTGAAGCATGAGTGGTGGTGGGTTTACATAGCTGATAGGAAATCACACAAGCTGGTCACATCACCAACCATGGTCTACGATCTCAAGAATAAGAAAGAGGTAAAAACATCTGATCTCTCTGTCTTTGTATTTTTGTCACTCTCTCTCTCTCTCTCTCTCTCGCTCTCTTATCCCTTTGTTATTTGTCTTGTGTCCTCGCATTATGCACTCTTTGCGATTTCCTTCCTGTCCTATTGATCTTTTTGTCATTCTCTCTCTCTCCTTCTCTCTATCCCTCCCTCCCTCCATCCCTCTCCCTCCTTCTCTCTCCCTCTCTTCCTCTCTCTCTCTCACTCCCTCCCTCTTTTAATCTCTCGCTTGCTGGTGTGTTCTTGCTAAACAGTATTTGTTTTATTCTATTTTACTCTTTGAGAGCCAGAAGGGCATTAACAGATACAGTCAACAACTAAATTATTTGTACCATTTGTAAATTTGATGTTTTTTTTTGTAACCCAAGAATGAAAGATGGACTGGTTTAATTTTGGCCTTTGTTGAATACTTTAAGATGTAAGCTTTAATATGTCACATTCTTTAAAAAAACGTAAATTGGGACAAATAAATTCTTCACATACTCAGAACAAAACATAAGTAAGGTTATGAATTGTGTAGTTGCTAACCGTATACTCTAACTCAGAGTCAACAGCCTTTTTGCTCTCAACAGTGCCATTTGTGGAGGGCTGTGTCTTTCTTTAATCCTTTGATGCAACCCTTGCTAATAACTTGATTGATTTTGTCTTGCCATCTGTAGGTTCAACTCCAGTTCCGAGCCCCGTCGAAGGGTAACTACCAGTTCTCTCTCTGCGTTCGTTCAGACTCCTATCTGGACTTGGATCTTATCAAATCAATCAAGGTAGGTACCTGAGAAATGTAGTATTGTACCTTTAAAACCACCTCAGCATCATAAATATCATCACCATTATCATCTTCCTTACTATTAGCATCATCTTCATCATCAATATAATCATTAACTCCATTGCGAACATTGTCGTTCCATCATTGGCATCCGTAGCTTGATTACCACCACCAACATCATCAATAATAATCACTTCCACCACCATCATGGATCTGTCTGTTGAAACAATGGGGTGACACCAACAATGAAACCACACTGTCTTGCCATTCCTTTCACTCACGTACCAACAGCAGGACATCAATCAAGCAATCATGTATAGAGTTGTGTTAACGATAGATGTCAAATATTTGTATTTCTTTGTAAACTGAAAGCGATTCGGTCTTCATGCATCCATGATTTTAATATATTTACTATTCATATGCCACTCAACTAATCTCCCTGTCCCACAATGTGGGCCTATTTATCATTGGAAAGATATACAAAGAGCTACAAGATTATTTTACTGTTTCCGCCCCAATATATAAAACAATGCTAGTGATAAAAGGGTTGTCATCAAGGAAACTGGATGGCTCAATGGTAGAGTAGTGGTCTCGTAACCGAAGGGCCCCGGATTCAAAACAAAGTTGATGCGCTATTGCCCTTATGGTAAGGCATTAATCCTCATTATCACGTCCCTGTTGGTCCCCTGGTTGCTTCCTTAAAAGCATACACATCCTTTCTTAGCAGTCAGGTTAAACAAACCATCCAGATAATCAAGACTGGAAAATTTTGCAAAGCTATTATGTTGCACGAAGCTAACCGCCTGTCGATTGGTGCCTGTTATTTTGTGCAAAATTGTACATGTGGCAAACAAGCGACGGTGCAGAGAGGCAAAGAAAGTCACCAACGTGTTAAAGCCCCACTGTACTACTTATAGCTACTTGCTTCCTGTCTATAGAAAACAATGCCTAACGGTGCCCATTGGTCCCCCATGCTTCTCTTTTTCTTAAGTTAATTGAGAGCTGAGTTGGTGATATAGCCACCTGTCAGTCACCACGCTGGGTGGTCTAATCCCTCCTGGCCAAACTCGTACAGAAGGGCTTTAAATTAACCATTTCCCCATCACTCACTTGCTTATCACTAGGTTGACGTGAAGGAAGCAAAGAAGGTGGAGGAGCACCATCCGCAGTGGGACATCTCTGACGATGAGAAGGAGGACGATGCAGAGGACAGCGCTGTCTCTGATTACACCACTGATGATGAAGAGAGTGACGATGAATAGATTCAAGGAGATCCTCATGCAAAGCGCTGGCTGCAGACTAGAGATGGGCATTATCAGGCGAGAGACATCACCTTCTTCTCAGTCAGTTGGAGATTGTTTTGAAAGGCCTGTTCACACTGAGCTCTTTTTCCTTGGGCATGTAGTGACCCGGCAAATGTGAACAAGCCTTCAAAAGCATATTTAACTTTTGAAAAATATGTGTCGAAAAATCAATCTAATAGGAAGCATTATTGTTTGGATAGTTATTTATGATTACTTTTGTCAATATTAGTACCATGGCACCCATACAAATTATGTTGAAAGTCACAGTCTATTTTTCCCTCGTCCCAGTATTAAATTGGGGTCACAATTTCAGGGATAATTGTTCATATAGTCTTTGCCAAATTACATGTAAAGATCATAATCTCATGTCCATTTCAAAACATCAAATGGTATGTTTTAACAAAGATGAAAAAGTGTGGATGAGTCAAGTAAGGAAATTACATAATTTCAATATATAGCAGAACAAAAATTAAATGTTGCTGCCTTTTTTAACCTATGGGAGGCCAATGTCAATCGAATCTTGTGTACATGTACCATTATAAATTAAAACATCATTCTGTTTTGGGGAGAATTTCTGCTTTGAGAGGTTTCGCTGTAAAGTGTGTCCCAGTAAACATGGCAGAAATTTTCCATCTTAATGAATAATTTCCTTGATGAGATATACATGTCTGAAAAGCTTTGCTTCTTTTCTTTCATTTGATGTACCACTTATTATTTATAACTCATGCATGATTGAATTAAAACTATGGAAAGTGGTGCTGCCGAAATGTCATTGGCACACACAAATTGCAGCTTTGAGTGAGTTTTGCTAGTAGTAAACCTAATTAATTTGAAAAAAGAAAAATATCACATACAGTTTATAACTTTCTGTTGCTTTCTGCTTGTGGTAATGAGACGGGGGCTACAGTATTACAAGAGTTTCCAGATGTGTAGTAAGCATGCAATCGCTTGTAAAGACTCACCCGGAACTCATAAGGCAAAAATTATATTACAAATTTGGTGCATCTAAAAGTGTAATCTAACAAAAATGTCAGTGTCTGGATAATTAGGGTATATGGTACCCTTTTACCTGTATACATGTTTATACTTTCTCTGTCTATGCAGTACAATTTTGATTTTCAGTTAATTTTTTCAGTTTTCCCTTTTGCATTCCGAGTTCCTATGTGGCAACTGCATTTTTTGCAAAACCCCCTTTGAAGGCCTGTTATTAGGAAAAGGATGATTGTTTGAAATTAATTTCTAGGAAAGGTACTATCAAATTTCTTTTGCTTTGACAAGATATCTGTCAAGCATCTCGAAATGGACCCTGCACAGACAAAATATGAAGCGAAATTTCTCAAAAAGAATGAAACAAAATGTTGTTTTCATGAAGCTTTCCAATATGCATTTGTTAAAAGTAGTGTAGATTTGTTGCCTATTTAATGTCATTTTTTTTTTTTTTAAGTTTGTGGATTAAATAATACCTTGTTAGATGGGTAATCTGAAAGGAATACAGTGTTTACTGATTTATTCTCACATTGGATGAGTGCATGGGATTTATGTTACCTGATGTTCATTTTCTCTTTTTTGTAATAATATTATCTCTTATTTTACATTGCTTTTTTCATTAATTTATGACGTAACATTATCAAATCTATGTCTTAACAGTAAAATAATTTATTGATAGATAGTGTTGATGAAATGATAATTTATTCATGATTTTGCTAAATGTGATGTTTCTTCCAAGAATTTTCTACTCCCTAACTCCAATATATCAAGAATTAGATATTTAGTTGATGTATTTAATATTGAATTAAAAAATTAAACAAAGTGTAGATAACGTGATAGAATTTATTCCCTTTCCCAATCCCTAAAACACAAAAAAGGGTGATGTTTTTTTTTTTTTCTTCATGTAGAGATATGTCGTTATTTGTTTGCCTGATATAGTTAACATGTTCATATGTGTTCATATACATGTAAGTGCATTATTATGTATGTCTTTTTTTCTTTTAATTATGTTTTTTGTGAAATGTAATTCTCTTATCCTTTTAAGACTATTATGTTGGCATTGCCTACTCTAAAGATTTCTAAGGGCTCATGCTTATATGCTTCACTGTGGAGAAGTTATACAAATACATTGTACATAGTACATTCTGCTATTCATGGAAGAAAGTTTATCTCTATTTGTGTTTACTTATACAATTTTTAGTTTTTTATGTATTAGGGCATGTCTCATCACATTACCAGGGTAGATTATCCAACACATGCATCATAAAGTGAATTACTCTTTGTTGCAGTTAATGCTGATGTTTTTGCCCCTGTTTCAGATGTCTTAATGTTTAACAAACTACATTGTTTAAAAATCATTCCTTCAAATTGTCGGTCAATTTCAAGTTGTAGTGGGTATAAGTACATGATATGATGTATATGATACAATTTTAGTGTTTATGTTTGGTCTGTTTACACACCGAGCTCCAGCCAAAATGCGCTCTTATGTTGAGAAGTTATTGCACATTTAGTAACGAGCCCCACCACATTCTTGTCTACCCACTTTTATTTTATTTTGTTGTCGTAGCTTGCTCTTGTTTTTTAGTTTTTGTTTTAGGGGGTTTGAGGGGTAAATGAAAAGTGCGAGATGGAATATGGAAATTGAGCATAATATTCTTTTTTTGTTTTATTTATGTACATTTTTAAACATTGCTGAACATACAGCATGCAACAGACAAAATATGCATTATCAATTGAGATCTGAAGTCCTAATAACTTTGACTACTCTTACTACACATTTTCTTTTTGTTTTCAGGTTTTTAAAGTGGCATTTAATCGTACATGTACATCTTCTATGATATTGTTGGTCATTGTATTTGTACATTACATTATCAACTGCCTAATCTCTCTCTCTGATTAAATGTTATGAATGCATCGATCTATCTTGACTGAAATGTGATGTTTTATTCTTTGATGTACCCTGTGGACTTCTGTGGTATATTGTTGAAGGCTCTTTTACGAGAGGTCCAAGGTTCAATCCTCCCATGGGCTTACGTCCTTGGGCAAGGTGCTCTACACACGCTTGTCTCTCTTGACCCAAGTGTAAAACAAGGGTACCTGGCAATCACTGCAGGAAGACCAGTATTGATACAGGTTAATAAGACCAAATAATGATGGTGATTGCGGTGAGGTGTTGGTGGTGATGGTGATGATGATTATAAGGTGAAGGATCGTGGTGGTTGTGGTGGTTGTGGTGGTAACAATGATGGGTGATGATGAATTGAGGAGGAGGAGCATGATCATGATGGTGAACATGATGATGGTAGGGGGTGGTGGTGGTGATGGATGATAGTGGTAATGATGATTATGAGGTGAAGGATTATGGTGATATTGATGATGATATGATATTAAGGAGGAGAATCATAATGGTGACGATAGTGGTGATGATGATGATGGGGTAGTGGTGGTGATTGTGATAATACCTGTAAGGATTATGAAATGATCAAATGATCATACATAGTAATCAAGACCTTTTTCCTTTTTTTCTTCAAAAAGGGGCATTTTTCCGCGTTCATCAAAGTTAATGATTTGCAATAACAGATTTTGAATAGACAGGGGTAATAGACACCTTCTAGAGATGAAAAGATATGAAAATATGCCGTTTTGAAAACTCATAAAATTTTGGCCAAAATGTTTGTCAAAAAGTGTCATTTTTCACATTTCATGAAATAATCTGCAATTTTATTTTTTGATCAGACAAAGGGTCATTCACAACTTCTATAGATGAAAAGATATGAAAATGGGCCATTTGCAAATTCATGAATTTTGGCCAAAAATGATAGGCTAACCCCTTGCCATTTTTGTCAAAAAATGTCATTTTTCACATTTCATGAAATGATCTGCAATTACATTTTTTTGATTAGACAGAGGTCATACACACCTTTAGAGATAAAATGATATGAAAATGAGCCTTTTGCAAATTTATGAATTTGGGCCAAAAATGATAGGCTAACCCCTTGCCATTTTTGACAAAAAGTGTCATTTTTCACATTTCATGAAATGATCTGCAATTACATTTTTTTGATTCGACAGAGGTCATACACACCTTTAGAGATAAAAAGATATGAAAATGGGCCATTTGCAAATTCATGAATTTTGGCCAAAAATGATAGGCTAACCCCTTGCCATTTTTGTCAAAAAATGTCATTTTTCACATTTCATGAAATGATCTGCAATTACATTTTTTTGATTAGACAGAGGTCATACACACCTTTAGAGATAAAATGATATGAAAATGAGCCTTTTGCAAATTTATGAATTTGGGCCAAAAATGATAGGCTAATCCCTTGCCATTTTTGACAAAAAGTGTCATTTTTCACATTTCATGAAATGATCTGCAATTACATTTTTTTGATTCGACAGAGGTCATACACACCTTTAGAGATAAAATGATATGAAAATGAGCCTTTTGCAAATTTATGAATTTGGGCCAAAAATGATAGGCTAACCCCTTGCCATTTTTGACAAAAAGTGTCATTTTTCACATTTCATGAAATGATCTGCAAATACATTTTTTGATTAGACAGAGGGTCATTCACAACTTTAAGAGATAAAAAGATATGAAAATGGGACATTTGAAAATTCATGAATTTTTGCCAAAAATGATGGAATAACCCCTTGCCATTTATGTCAAAATGTGTCATTTTTCACAATTCATGAAATGATCTTAAATTACATATCATAAAAAGAGAATAGTCATACACACCTTCTATAGATGAAAAGATATGAAAATGGGCCATTTGAAAATTCATGAATTTTGGCCAAAAATGATGGGCTAACCCCTTGCCATTTTGGTCAAAAAAGTGTCATTTTTCACAATTCATGAAATGATCTAAAATTACATATTTTGAATAGACAGAGTTTATACACTCCTTCTAGAGATGGAAAGATATGAAAATGGGCCATTTGCAAATTCATGAATTTTGGCAAAAAAATGATGGGCTAACCCCTTGCCATTTTTGTCAAAAAAGTGTCATTTTTCACATTTCATGAAATGATCTGCAAATACATTTTTTGATTCGACAGAGGTCATACACACCTTTAAGAGATAAAAAGATATGAAAATTAGCCATTTGCAAATTCATGAATTTTGGCCAAAAATGATGGGCTAACCCCTTGCCAGTTTTGTCAAAAAGTGTCGTTTTTAACATTTCATGAAATGATCTGCAATTACATTTTTTGATTTGTCAAAGGTCATACACACCTTCTAGAGATGAAAACATATGAAAATCGGCCATTTGCAAATTCATGAATTTTGGCCAGAAATGATGGGCTAACCCCTTGCCAGTTTTGTCAAAAAGTGTCATTTTTCACAATTCATGAAGTGATCTTAAATTACATATTTTGAAAAGAGAATAGTCATACACACCTTCTATAGATGTAAAGATATGAAAATGGGCCATTTGCAAATTCATGAATTTTGGCCAGAAATGATGGGCTAACCCCTTGCCAGTTTTGTCAAAAAGTGTCATTTTTCACAATTCATGAAGTGATCTTAAATTACATATTTTGAAAAGAGAATAGTCATACACACCTTCTATAGATGAAAAGATATGAAAATGGGCCATTTGAAAATTCATGAATTTTGGCAAAAAATGATGGGCTAACCCCTTGCCAGTTTTGTCAAAAAGTGTCATTTTTCACAATTCATGAAATGATCTTAAATTACATATTTTGAAAAGAGAATAGTCATACACACCTTCTATAGATGAAAAGATATGAAAATGGGCCATTTGAAAATTCATGAATTTTGGCCAAAAATGATGGGCTAACCCCTTGCCATTTTGGTCAAAAAAGTGTCATTTTTCACAT